ACTTAATTTGAGAGATTGAACATTTTTCTCTGTCGCCTCATCTACAACTTTTTATAGTCATTTCCATTATATGAAACCAAAGCTTACATAAAGAACGCGGTTTCACAGTAATTGTAATTGAGACAATAGTTTAACTGTTGAGGCTATTGTTTCCGAACAACGATTGGTCAGTCTACTTAACGATTGCGAATAGGTGGAAGTCGCGGTGGAAGTTAGCCAATTAAGGTGTCATCACCGTATTTATCCACAATAATTTCAAAAGTTTTAGTTTGAGGAGACCAAATAAATCATTACGCAATAACGCATTGAACGGTGTTTCCTCTTTAAACCCCAGGGAACAACAAGCACATAAAACGTTGCTTTGGAAGACCAAGATTGGACTGAAAATCTAGACTAAGTAACATAATTAAGTAATATAGAAATGCTATTGCGATGCTTTCATTGATGGTATAGGTTATTGTAAAATCGATCAAAGTTCAATTGTGCTTAATTCATCATCCGTTCTCCAATGACCTCCTCGTCTCTGGCGTCAGCCATATAAGCTATTAGCTGAGTTAACTTAAATATTAAGGTTTGAACTACCATAACTGCACTTACTGGTGGTACCCAGATGTATAACAGGAACTAACAACTTTGAAGCCTACACTTTGGGGAATTGGAAACTTCGGTAGCCCTATCATTTATACTTAGTATATACCCCTTACACATATTAGTAAAGCTATCTTATCAGTCAGATCTTATGTCGCAGTACTCTACAGTGTACCTCTTCCGTCTTCTCATTATTCAGTGGGTGCGGATTGAAGTTAAATTTTCGTCCTCACATCGAAGACCGTCACTATTTACCCAATAAACAGGCGTATTCCATTCAATAATGTCTATCTTAATCGTTTCTGCTCAAGAATTTCAATGAATGTCAACTTGGTTTTGTGCTTTGTTGCTACTACCACAGTCAATGTAATTAGTAGGTGAATTAGAAAATAGATAGTGGTGAGTAAATTGAGTTTATATAGGATTGAGGATCCTTCTCACAATGGCTCATATTGCCTGTTTCCATTTAAAAGTGGAAAGGCGAGTATTACCGTATTGGAAGTGAGGAACTCTACAGATAATATTTAACTTAGTCAATTCTCAATGGCCTTACTAACAGTCTGTACACAAGGATTTCACTTCAGTAGGCCTTAAAGCAATTGAAAGCCGGTAAAATGCCCTCACTCGAGATACATATCTAATGAACCTACTTTCACTGTTTATACATGATTACAGCAGAGAACGTGAAATGGCCAACAAGGCCACTAAAGCCAACATCGTAATGGCTTGAACAACAACGCGAATCTACGAAGCTGATTAAACTCCAAATAAAGGCCTGCATGCCAATAACCTGACAATCACCATTTTTTATGGGAAAGCGTTATTTGCAATAGTGATGGCAAGATAAAAGCAGCCCCGTGTGAATTCTGAAAGGTAAATTAATATTGCACTTTTATTTAAAAGTAGGGGGGGGGGTGTACAATTGACTTATCTCCACGTGGTGCACCCTGGGAAGCGTATACTCATACGGCAAAAAAGTCTATTAACTGCCAGTTTAATCTGACTTCTAACTAGCATCACCCCACTGTATGTCAAATTCGACCCCACTCACAGTACTCATCTAACCTTTTCACCGCCATTGTGTCTGTCTGTCTGTCTGTTTCTTTTGCGTCTGTAAATCACTCTTCTTTCCTCTCTCTCAAATTTTTCTCACTTCGATATTCCTCCCCTCTGTGAAGCCCAAAGTCAGCTAAAGGACTAATGATAAGTAACAAAACGACTGTCATTTGAAATAAATTTAAAAGTAGTAGTGCAAAATGTTGCAGATGGTAAAGCAATGAGCATTCCATAGTTCACAGTAAGTGTTGATAGTGCTTATCATGAAAACGTATGATGAACAACTCAGCACATTTCGGAATGCCTCTCTTATCTCAGTCACAATATAGTGTAATTGGTCTTCTATATTGGCGCATGAATGCATTCCTTGGCATCACTATTGGAGGTAGTTAATATAATGTAGAAGTGAAAAAGTCGAGGGGGGGGGGGAGTGGAAAAGAATATTGTTTCAAAGATATAAAAGAGACAGACTCAAAGGTATAAAAAAGGTGAGGCGAGTAATGTGGAAGTGGGGTCATGGTAATTCGAGGTCGGAAGTCAACTGCCGATTAAAAGACTTTTTTGCCGTATGAGTATACGTTGCCCGGGGTGTGCGATAGACTTACGTCCACGTGGTACACCCTGGGCAACGTATACGCATACGGCAAAAAATCTATTTATCGACAGTTGACTTTTGACTTTAAACTACCATCACCCCACTGTATGTCATATTCGACCCTTTCGCAGTACTCACCTTACCTTTTTCTCTACCTTTGTGCCTGTCTGTCGTTTTTACACCTGTGAATCGCTCTTTTGTTTCCTATCTCGACTTTTGTGGCTTTGATGTTCCTCCTCCTCTCTGTGAAGCCCGAAGTCA